TATATATATATATATATATATATATATATATATATATATATATATATATATATATATATATATATATATATATATATAATAAACACAAATAAACATGAATTATTATAACACGGTCATGGCACTGCCAGAAGGTCAGCAAACATGCTGACCCTGGATATACTTGTCCAGCTACATCACCACAGGTAATAAAATTAGCTACATAAATCCACCAGCTTTTGATCCTAATCACTGTGCGCTTTGATCACTCTCATTGAGAGAGGAAGTGAAACAGGATATAAAGACAGACATCTAGACAGAAGATACCAGTCAGTTCCAGCAAAATGATTCTGTGACATGCAAGGCCTTCTGACAGTAACCAACATGCATAAAAGGGCAAGCTAATTTTCAAGCTGTCATGTTAGGCAGAGAGGAGTAAAACACACAAGCTTTATGGGCAGGCGAGGGCAGCACACAGGCTAAACACGTAATGGAAGAGACAGATAATCAGTGTCTAAGCAGTGACAAGGGACCTGTTTTTTTCTGTAAGAATTACACTTTTCTTTAACTGGTTTTACAAAACAGCAAAGTTCAACAGTAATGTAGAGGAAAACAGCTAGTCAGGAGTCAAAATATTTCACCCTTTGACGATGACGCAACACTACATATGCACCTCCAGAGTCAGTCAGAAATAAATGATATGGTGTTGCCATCAAACAGACGTGTAGAGTATGACTTCACTACTCTAAAATTATCCACTACTGATTGCTAACATGGAGAGGATTTCATCAGCCTTATTTCCCACCATCAACCCATAGAAACCTCATTGAATCGTGTTTGGGAAAAATAAATATATAAAATAAAACTGTCAGTTGTTGATCTGGATCTGATCTGGAACTTCTGTTGATTACATATATTTTGCAGTCCAGTGGTATTTGAATTGATTAATGAAAGGATCTTGCAAATGTAACTCAATTACAGGGATAGTTCACCCAAAAAAGAAAATTGTGTCATTAATTACTCACCCTCATGTTGTTCCAAACCTGTAAGACCTTCGTTCATCTTCGGAACACAAATTAAAATATTTTTGATGAAATGCGAGAGCTTTCTGACCCTGCAAAGATAGCAACAGAACTATCACGTTCAAGGCCCAAAAACGTAGTAAGGACATCGATAAAAAAAAGTGTGCAACGAAAACAAAAATAACTTTATTTAACAATTTCTTCTCTTCCGTGTCAGTCGACGCACGTGCACGAGAGTACCATGACGTGATGGCACTTGTGTGATGATGCTGCTGATGCAGGAGCCGGCATTCTGACGTAGAAACCCGATGCGCTGCACCTTGTTTGCAATCAGAGGAATGCACACGCATGCATCCTGGTACTCTCATGAACGCAACACGGAAGAGAAGAAATTGTTGAATAAAGTTATTTTTGTTTTCTTTGCGCACAAAAAGTATTCTGGTAGCTTCATAACATTACAGTTGAACCACTGATGACATATGACTATTTTATCGATGTTCTTACTACGTTTCTGGGCCTTGAACATGGTATTTCCATTTTTGTCTCTGCAAGGTCAGAAAGCTCTCGGATTTCATCAAAAAAATCTTAATTTGTGTTCCGAAGATGAACGAAGGTCTTACGGGTTTGGAACGACAAGAGGGTGAGTAATTAATGACACAATTTTCATTTTTGGTTGAACTATCCCTTTAAGAACAACATAATAACAAAGCAGACAAAGTGTGAAAACAATGAAAAAAGATACAAATCTAAAGTCAGTAAAGTTATTAATCAACCCTCAAACAAGTGGTGCAGATACAGGTGGACAACGTCCCACCAAAAGGCCTAAAAGAAAAAAAAATTTTACTACAGTAATTAAAGTTTTTAGCCTTTTACATTTTTTCTATAAATTCTAGACTGTAATCCAATTTTCTCCAACAAATACATAAATGAAAAAAAAATTTATAATAAAAAAAATTTAATTAAATTAAACCTGGGACTTAGTTTCTTAGGAAGCATATTTCTAGACCAACAATTTGTTATTTTATAACTCCCTACTACTTTGACTCGAGGGAACAATTTTGTACTGTGATGGTATTGTAAAACTGCAATGGTATTAATTTGATTTTCTCTCACATTGACTTCAGTTATTCACCCCAGGATGGCATCCTTTTAACATCACTGCCTCAGACACACATTTGCCTCAGCACAATAAGGGACCCAAAGCAAACAGTATGGTCTATGAGATAATGTGAGAAGCACGTGGTGGAGAGAGATGGGAAGAAGAAGAGTGTAAAGACGACCCATCATGGGCATAGATGATGAGTCACTGCAGGACAACACCCAGAGCAATAACTCAGCCCAGCCAAACACAGCTCAAGCTAAATAAGACACAGACGGACTGATTTTGTGAAAACAATGAAAATGAAGCAGCATCAGCATGAGGGGAGTTATGGGGCTGCTTAGTTCATTCACACAGACTGACGCATGACTTGCCAAGCTGGAAAGATTTACCTGCATGACCATCTGTTGCCAGGCCAGCGGTTGGTTGCTCCCGCCTGTGGTTCCGCCTACCAGTCGATCAGAGGGCAGACTGCCGCGTTCCAGCTGTAAGGAGACATTGCGGCGTTCCTCTTCAAGGGCCCTGGTCAGACGCTCGAAGCGCGCCTCCTGCTCTTTGACTGATGCCAGGATACTGGCGGCTGACGGCACGTCATATTCTTCCATAGCAGCACCCAAAATTATATGCTGATTACAGGGCAGGGTAAATGGGGGAGAGAGAAGGACCCAGGACAAAAGAAACAACCATTTAAAGGGATAGTGCAGCCAAAAATGTGAATTCTCTTAACATTACATACTCTCTTTACTTTTTTTCTTCTGTGGAACATAAAAAGAAGTCCTTTATAGCAGAATGTCTCTTTTCCGCATTGAAAGCAAATGGTGAACGCAACTATCATTCAAGGAATTTAACAACTTCAGGGGCAGTTATAGGGTCAGGGCATATTCAGGGCTTAATGCATATGGAACCACCTTTTGATGAAATATTGCAATATTCTATATTATAAAATCAATATAATTGACATGGTGTCATTCTAAAATATTACTGGATAAAACTAAAATCTCAGCTTCAGACAAGTCAAAAGCTTAATTTTAAAACAGTCCTAATGTAAAATAAAATAAAATGACAAAAACACTATTTGGGTTTACATAAGGGACAAAAAATATTTTTGTGTCCCTTTAGGCCTTCCATAGTTTGGTGACCACAGAAGACTTGAATAGTAGTATGGACCACTACCTTTAGGAAGACAGCCTCTGGTCCCCATCCACTTTCACTGTATGGAAGATAGCCGCTTGGACTCTTTTTGTGTTCCCCATAAGAAATAAAGTCAAGTAAATAAAGACAAAATATACATTTCTGGCTTAACTATACCTTTAATACTGACTATGCAACCCTAAAACCTAATACTACAACAGTATCCATGCACCAAATGCTGCAGTGTCACATTGCACTGTACTATGAGCAGCAATTCCTTTATAGGAAGCTTGATACTTTACTTTCTGCATATAACAACCATAAATGGCCAAAACTCACATGCATATGCCACAAAACATACTCAAAATTGTTCCAGACTAAATTCACCACACGTCGACACAATATAGACATGCTGGACTATAAATCACCATGATAACTTCATTCATGCTATGCACAATAGCTCGGACATCTCTCCCATTGTCAAAGGTGGCAAAATGAAGATAATGGAAGCTTCATATAGAGGATAACGAAGTAAAACCAAGGGTTGAGGCTTGGTTCATGCACAGTTCACCTGCATACACACCTATCAGTTAGTGGAGAGAGAGGCAGTTAGAGGACAGACATCCCCCTATAAGGACAGACGGGAGGAGATGTGCCCAGCAGGAGGCAAAGAGAGAGAGCGAGAGCTGGCTGCAGAGGGAAAGAAAGAGAAGAAATCAACGGTTAGATAACACTCTGACACTATAAACATAATAGACAGAATTCTGCTCTGTTTCTTGGGGACTTAAAGAGGATGAAGATAAAGAAATGAATGAGAAGATGCTAGAGAATGATAAATGACTATTGAAACCTCATTCGCAGACTTTGAGCAAAGTAGATTGGATTGGGCTGTCAGGGGACAGGTGTACAGAGACAAAGGGGGCCAGACTAAGTATGAGATGGAAAAGGGGGCTGGTGCAAATTAATATTTACTAAAAGTGTTATACAGTTGTTGTTTTTCGTTCTCCATTAAACCAAAACCACAAATGGACACGCACACAATAACACAAACATTCTATTCTCTATAGAACAGTCGGTGTTCTATAAGGTCCTATTCCCTTTGAAGCGCAGTGCAGCACAGTACACACGCAGGCTTTGAAGTTTGTTTCTGGCTGATCATTTATTTATCTTAAGCGGCGTTCTGATACATCTCTAACGGCAAGGCATTGTACTACGGTCTTGTTCTGGGTACAAAGATCGAATGCACAAGGTCTAGCAAAGGGAGCGATCTGCTTCTGCTGTTGCCTCTGGAAAATAACTCAAGATTACATTTATCTGCTAGATAAGACACATTTACAAAAATGTGATAACTTATCATGAAAAATGTAAGTCAATAAAAATGTGGCGACAATGTGAAAACGGATAAACTTCTAATATCTGAGATGTAAACAGTTAGATGTGAATAACAGATAACTTTTAACCTTTTATGAGAAATGAACTGTTCTACCAGCTGGGTCTTATTTATTAAACAATGAAATACATGAACATATCTACCTACCTATAGCAGCATTTTATCTATTCATTCTTCCAATTTTGTCGTGGCAAACTTTGTATTTCTAGTTCAAATGCAATTTCACACAATTAAATGATTTTCAATTAATTCCGTTTCCATACTTTTAAATTCAAATTGGAATTCTGCATCCTCTAACCTCAATTCAAATTCAGAAACTTTATTAAAATTGGCTATTAGGTGGTTTCATACTGGCCCAAGATGTCAAAGTGGTCATTGGAAATGGCTTGTGTCTATCTTTCAGTGCAAGTCTAAAATATTTTTTGCCCTTTTTAATTGTCCACCCAATAAAACAAGTCAATAGCACACACCTCCTAAAAAACAGAATGATGTATTCTTTTTGTCTGGAGCATAAAAGATACAGGATTATTTACACGCCAAAGGGGTTTGATCAAATCCATTTCTCTAAGTATGAGCAATAGTAATAGTGCCTTTCCTTAGCAAACACCACTTGTTAACTAATACACTTTTTGAAAGCTTTACTACACAAGAATTAGATCTGAATTCCTTTAGTGCTATAGTAATAGTAGTATTCAACATTAAACACAGAAAGGAAATCAAATGTTAAGAGATTACCCAAACCATCATTTAAGGCCAGTTATCAAAATCTTTACAGTGTCTAGAAGGGGACAGCACTCTCATCATGGGATTAACTGAGCTATGATGATGAGGCGGTTATGATGATGAACCCCTGCTTTAGGATTAAAGAAGCTGCCTCTCCCATACTCCCTATTTCAAGGAGTGCAGGGGCTGATGGGAAATTGGTCCCTGCCTCTCTAAGTATCAGCAGGAGAATGACAGGCATGTCAGACATGCCCACTGCACTTATGACCACAGACTTAAAATAGTCCAAAGTAGTGAAGCATTCCAGGCCTGGTTTGGAGCTGGTTGTGCTAATAGCTTGGAGGGAAAAAAGGACAGTTCATTGTCAGCTAACTGTTCCGGGAAGAGCATTCCATCTGTACGCTGCATTAATCTTACAAAGGGCTTTACTGCACTGATGGCAATATGGTTATCTGAACTAATGATTGTACTACAGATTAACAAAGATAAATGAGCCATTATGCCAACAAGGCATGCTAATTTAAAGGGATAGTTCACCTATTAACGTTCTATCATTTAGGCCAGGCGTACACGGTGCAAGTTCAGTCGGGAGGTTGTGAGCCATTGCACACGTTACAGTTCAGTTAACCTGTTAATCGTGTCAAAGCAGTTTGGTACACAGCACGACTGTACCGCTGTGCGAGCCGACGGCAATCGCATGAGCTTTCGTGCTAAACACAGAGATGTGGAACTTTTCAATGTTGCTGCTTTATAGCTTCAAATAGAAAAAGAAAGAAAATTAAAAAATGCAAATTATTTGGTGAATTGCAGTTTCTCTTTACAACGTGTTTTTGCAGCAGTGAGCAATGTAGCCAATCACTGACATATCTGTTGATTTCTTGAACGCAATGGCCAATCAGAGGCGTTTATGTTAGAATCCACTCACCGCTCACAAAGCTGGAATTTTGTCCAGTGCAGAATTCTGCACACATGAGAATAATCTCATTATTACAAAGTGTAGACACAATGTAAAAACAGAAATTCATTGTGTAGAGAACTTCATTGATTATAACAGAACTTTGTGAGATCACAAACTAAGATGAGAGAGTGATTATAAAAGGAGCGCTCTTTGCCCCATAGCAATGAATTGCACAAAATATATGCTATGTGAAAATAGATATGCATTAATGCTAGAGCACCCTCATTCATTTCAGAAGCACCTTCAGTGGAGCACATTCAGCAGAGAACAGCATAGTCATTCCTTTCAACAAAAACAACTGTGTGTGTGTCGGTGTATCCGCACAATTTGGGGTTGCCTAGTAGCCACTGAGCTATAATAATATACATATATCTAGCATATGTGATGTTGTATATGATTTTTACACTGGTCAAAATTAGGCTGACTCCCCGAATTTTTTAAGCATGTTTAAAAATTATCAGGAGCTTGTGAGGTACTCGGCTCGTAAATTCCTCTCACACGATGCGAGCCATGACCATACGAGCATCAACGACTTCCATGCGATTTCTTCCGATGGGAAAAAAACGCATACAAGCTCATATGACAGCAAAAATCGCACCGTGTATGCCCGGCTTTATTAACCTTCATATCAGTCACAACCTGTACTACTTACTATCTTCTGAATAAGATATTTTGAAGAACATTGGCGTCCAAACAATATTTGTTTTCATTGCATAGAAGAAAGTAAACCATTCAGACCTTTTTCAAAATATCTTCTTTTATGCTCCATAGAAGAAAATCATATATATGTTTGAAATGACATTAAGGTGAGTAAATATTAGGGCTGTGCGATATTGAAGAAAAATGCGATATGCGATACCTTGTTAAAAAATGCGATATTCAATACGATATTGCTTAAAGTGTGTAAAATCAATTTCAATTATATTTTAAAATATTTAAAAATGAAAATTATATAACCAATTTGTTTCACATTCTTTCTTGGAAAAGAAAGAATCACTACAACTTCTGAAAGTGACTAGCAGTGTTTTAGCATTACATAAAAAGTAATGTCACAAATCAGAAAATGTAATTTTAACATCAGTGTGAACATACAAACAAACATTCACTGCATGAATTAAGTTTAGATTAATCTTTGTTATAGCTGTTTTGTTGTTTTGATCCGACTGCACGGATCCAGTATAATGATACACATCCGATATCTTTCTCAGCTGTTTACATTCATTTAAAACATAACCGACTGCGTTTACGAGAATGATCGTCGAGACGGGTACTATTGACATAATTCTGTGTTTATGTGTCTGTTCAAACATGAGGAGATGCAAAAGACGAATCAACTCGGTGTTCGCGCGCCGTCTAAAACACGTCTCTGTCTGTGTGTGTGTGTGTGTGTGCGTGCGTGCTTTGCACGAGTGCAGCAGAACTGAAGAGACGCTGCGCGAGATGCGGCTTGTGCGCGCACTTCAGGTGCGAGTCAGACAGCAAGACGAGATGGCAAAGAGTTGTTTTCTGCAACTTATTGCACTTAACACTTTTTAACGTCAAGCAATTCTCTGCTATATGCATTGAACAAAAATTTTGACCTTTTGCAACATTTTGATTTAAGTAGCCTATTATTAAAATGATTCAGATATCGCACGCCCTTGCGATATGTATATTGCAATATTTACATTTGCGATATTTCGATATATTGTGCAGCCCTAGTAAATATTAATTAAAATTTTTAATTGAACTAACCATTTAATAGAATAAAGGACTCATCAAGTGGTTAAAAAGCAAAGCAAAACAAAACAAAAAACATGCCTGGTAACAAAGGTTATAGGTTCAAATCCTGCAAGAGGCTTTTTAAAACTGTCACCAATATGACATTACTTACCCTTGTTTCATCAGGGAGATGGTCCCTGTAAATACACCTGTACATGATTTAAGTAACTTTTGGTTAATACAGCCTACTAATTGACAAATTTGTAATAGGTTATGGAAACAAAATAGATAAAACAAAACAAAAAGCACACAATAAATAGGATTTTGTAGCATTTACTAATGGTCAGAACTGGCTTTAATTCCTGGAGACAAATAAACACTATCACATGAACTGTGCTCATGCAGGCACAGTGTTTTTCCTCAGGGATAAATACATTGCAGCATAAACCCTGGTGCTAAAAATAGCCGTGTAATAAATTTACAAACGCAGTTGGAGCTTTCTGCATGGTCCTAGATATGAGATGCAGCAGCAGAGGCACATTTAAAAGCCTTGACTTGAAATAACCTCAACAACAAATTCATCAGGGGTTGGGGAACACCTACGTTATGTAGCCAAGCAGGAAACATTAACTTCTGTTGAGGTGAGAAAACATTGAGACAATTGTGTTTACAGTGCAAAGAGTTGTTAGATCTCAACCCAAGAAACCTGGAACAATACAAGCTTAAGAAACACTGAGAAAGATTGTTATATAAAGCAGCATCCAAAACTCACCTATTATGTTGGAGTTGACCTAACAATTTCTGAGCAAACATCATAAGCCCAAACACTTAGAAGCTGCACAGTTTATCATGTTTTCATTGATGTCTGTAGACAGAAAACTGTCCGTAGAGTAAAGAGAACTGGCCATTTGGTGCTGTTGAGAGATCAGTTTAGAGGGTTCAGTAAAGACCACCAAAGAAAAGGCCCTCAAAAGCACCTGATCCCATTTTTACATTCATCTGCACCTCTCCACCTCAGGTCAGATACCAAATTAAGGATGCATTAAGTTCAATCACTCAGATTCAAACAAAGGGACGTTACCAATCTCAGAGGTTGAACCGTGCTGCATTATGTGTCAAGGCACTTATGATGAATGATGGGCTTGTGCTTTCTGCTAATCTAATATATTTTGTTCCAAGCACAAAGAGTGTCAAAAGGTGAACCCTGAGAGAAAATAAAAAATCGCTTAAATCAAAACACTATGTTAGAGAAGTTCTCTAGGTTTAACTGTGCAGTATCTGCGCAGGAGATTTACTTCATATTACACTCCTTTAAAATGTGTGAATGACTGCAGATACCTAAATAGCCAAGCTAAAAACACACAAATTTAAGGGCTAGCTCACTCAAAAATGATAATTCTGTCATCATTTACTCACCCTCATGTTGTACCAAATCCATGAAACATTCGTTCATCTTTGAAACACCAATCAAAATAGTTTTAATGAAATTGAGAGACTTCTGTCACTTTTTTAAAGTCTATTCACTCTCGCTGCGTCGCGCATGTAACCTGCCAAAACTCAAATGGAATCGCAATTCCTTTTGCATTTGAATTTCCGATGTCTACATGGAAAGCTGCCAATCATCATCAGGGGTGGGACTATACTAGGGGGCGTGTTTGTGTTGGGAGGTGACGTCACTCACAGACGACCGTGCCGAATGCTCTGATCAATGGAGTAATAAAGGCTCTGCTAAAGGCAGCTACCAATCAGTTTCGTACCTGTGTGAACGAATAGACAGTGCAACCTTCTTGGCACCATACATAATTCTGGCTTTTTTACCCCAAAAGTAGCAATTATCCCCTGCTAACAGCGGGAGCGGGGTAATTAATATTGCTATTTAAATATGACAGGCTCGTAACTCCTAAGACATGGGAAATAGTTGCAAATGGACTTTGCTTTTTCATTTGAAATTTGGCCATCGCTGTGCATTCGCGAAAGCGAAAATGCAAACGGTAATGCAGGATTTGCAATTGCATTTGGATTATGTCACAATTTATGCGTCCACATATGGAAAACACAGTTGAAAATAGAATTTGCAATTCCTTTTGAAAATTGTCCGGAATATCATTCCATATTCACAGAGGCAAGTAAAATGAGAGAAAAGAGATACATCATGCTATGTGTGCAGTGGACGAGAAGGTCTGTCCCAATTATGACAAATCTGAATTGATATTACAATCACAATTAATTTTCAATTTATAAAATGTACATGAAAATACTTATTTGGCATGCTATATTCATTATGTAAGCTACAAACCTAAAACAGTAACTATTTTAAACATTATAACTGATTATAATGGTACACTGCAAAGAAAATCCTATTCTGAACAAGTACGTTTGTCAAATCTTAGAATCATTGAAACAATATAAACTTACTTGAGAAGCAACAGTGCATAAAATTTTTTTGTCTAACTGCACTGGCAGTTTTAGGAATAAACATAAGGTTAAAAAGCTTTAAAAAAAAAAGTGAAAAAAATTATCATGTTCAGTAAGACAAAATACACTTCTATTTAGATACAATCTATAAAGTCGTCTTGATATCATAAGCAGCTGCATCTCTATAACCTTGTTTTAAGGTTTTTTTACTGTAGATATTTTTTAAATTAAAGAACTCAACAAAACTCAAACGTAGTGTTGTAGTTTTGATACTACTTTCATTGTAAGTGTATTTAGTGTATACTGGGTGTCATGTTTCATGGCACAGTCATTTCCATCTGGCATGGCCATGGTATATACATACACTATCAATCCAAAGTTTGGGGTAATTTAACATATAGCACTATCAGCAGATTTTAAAACCATGACAGACGTCACTGCCTTTTCCTCAGTGATTGACTGCTATCTGTCATTTTTGCCTCTCGTTTGCATGGACTTGAGCATTTCAAACTTTGTGACACATCGCTGTCATTCCCACAATCCCTTGTGCGATCCTGCCACTCATCTCCCATAGAAAATGAATTGAAAACGGCCTCTCATATCAGCTCGCTCAACACCAGTGTACACATTTGGTCAAATAAACAAATAAATTGTTAATAAATGCACACATTTGTACTAAGCGTCATTTTAAGGACCAAAGTCCACCCCAATGTAGAGACCCAACGCAACAGGGTGCGGCGTGGGACAACTCTTGATGGGCGATAGCGGGTGCGGGCGGGAAGAGACTCGTGTGTGCGGGATACAGGAGAATAAAATGATTTGCGGGAATCTCGCAAAATAGAAATGATCTAAACATAAAATGTTTAAAACATATAAATTGCACAAAAGCAAAAAGAACAACTAATAACATTAAAATGATTAACGTGCAAGCTAGGCAGAGTTTCTATTTATAACACGTGTTTAAAGAGTTGCTCAATGTAGCCAATCACAGACTCAGCTGTTGATTTCTGGAACGCAATGGCCAATCAGAGGTGATTAAGTTAGAATCCACTCACAGCAGTGCTGAAATTGCGTGCTCACGAATAGTCTCATTTTAACACACGAAGTGTAGACACTGTGAAAGATTCATTGTGCATATATTTATTGTGTTATAACAGAGCTTTATGAGATCGCGATTAACTGTGATGTCAGCTTTTAGTGATAATAAAGGAAGTGTGCTGCTCGCATTCTGATATGCCAAACCATGCACGCAGCAGCCCATGCTTGCTTTTCTGTTAAAAATAACAGTGGTTTGTGAATGTTAATGCTGAGCCTAAATAACAAATATTTTAGTGGAAGCATTTATGCAGGGATGTTGTGGATCTTAGGAGATGTTACAGAACCATTTAATGTAAATTTCTTTGATGTGCCGAAAAAAAATCTATATAGATTACTTTTATGCGGGCGGGAGTGGGACAAAACATGAATGTCGCGGGCGGGAGCGGGCCCAGATAAGATATTTTTCTGCGGGAGCGGGCGGGCGCAGGACTCTAACCCAATGTAACTTAAAATTTGGCATAATCAAACTAATTTATATGCATTATTATCTATGGATTCATTAAACTGCATTATGAGTAATCTGCAATAAAAGATACAAAAGAAAACATTCATCACCTAGCAGCATATTTTCATAGGATGATGATGATGACGATGATGATGATGAAGAAGGAACAGATAAAGTGGTGCAACTGGCAAAATGATGTGCAGTAATGAAGGGGAGAAAGTGAAAAGCAAACAGATGGGTTGGGTGGGTACCTTTGATGTTGGCCGGGCAGTCGGTGTGCGTGTGGACGTGAGGGTTAAGGCTGTAAGAGAGGGCTGACTGGAACTGGAGCTCTCCTCCCAAGAACCTCTGCTTGAAACAGCAGCTGCAACAGAGAGACGACAACACACACGCATCAAACACATGCGATGGGGACAATCCACGCTGTATCATTAGCAGGTTTATTTACATATTACAACTGTGAGTCAGTGCAACCACACACTCCCCCTCAGGGTTCAAGCTGAGAATATGAAAAGCTGGGATGTGTGGCTCTGGACTGTTTACCTCAGAGTTATAAATAGTTTCTCTTCTCCTCATTACAGAGTAATGCCACAGCATTGTATTTACTCATAAGCGTCCCACAAATTAGGGTGTGAATAATGCTGAACCTCTATTCATGAAGGAATTTGTGGGACACATGCAGTGACGCTCATGCAGGTGACTCCTTCCATGCTTTAATTTTGTCTCAGTTACTGCTTATAAAATGGTAAAAAGGACAAAAATAAACAATAAAGGTGCATTTTCAGCATGCAAAAACAGCTATGAATCTTCAGCTCATTCATGCAGGGGAAGCACAGGCATCAAAAACTCGATTTCTGAGTCAAAACCATCTAAACATCAACCTCAGTAGCTTAAAAGGCAGACTGACCCAGGCAAACCCATTTAAAAACTTGAAAACACGAGGTAATATTTTCATTTCGTTATCGTATTAAGAAATAAAACGATACTAGAAACTTGCCGTGACGTCTCTGAGTTGGGTAATTTCTGAAACTCTTTCAACAAAACAACTCTTCAACACACTTATTCTTATTCTGCTAAGGATTACAATATCTTTCCCACGAGGGAATCTTCTCTGCTTCGACTTCAAGGACAGACGTGCTCAAAGCACCTTGGATTTGTGGGACGGACATCAAAGGTGAGCTAAGTTGGAACACATTTGTTATCAGGTCCCTCTTTCTCTCCGTCTGAACTGAGCTTACTGTATTCTGTGCAATTGTGTGTTGTGTTAAATCCATGTCAGTGTGCAGCTAAAATGTCTGCAGTTAGTTCATGTTGAAGAACATAAAGAAGATGTAAGTGTCACAAAGCTCTAAATCTCATGCTCTTAAAAATAGATTTATTTTTACAGTACATATGAATCCTAAAGCGTATATGTTTAGTCAGAAAAACAATAATAAAAAGTACCATGGTATTATTTTGCCTTTTTGGAAATTAACATGTTAGTGCCATGATATTTTTCAAGTACCCCAGAGAACCATGTACTATACAGTATATACCATGTGTTACATGAATATAGTATTTTTTCAGGACAATGGTATAAATTACGGTACCATCTGATACCATTCCCTCTACTAGCTGCCAAACCAATTATAGTAATGAGGCTAAAGGGCAAAAAAAAATAAAAAAACATTTTAAAGGAAGACCATTTTTATTTGTTTCAACTAAAAGCAGCTGTGGAATACAGTCCTCTCTCATTAGAACAACCAAGTAGATGATGTCGCTCAATTTATTTTCTGGGCTGAATGGCTTAAGGCAAGAAACGCATTGCCAAAGGAAAGAAGAAAATGTAATTAATGGAATAGTTTAACCAAAAATAAAAATTTTGTCATTATTCACTCTCATGAAGTCCCAAACCAGCATGCTGGTATTTTTTTTTTTCTGTGGAATTTTTTGAGGAAACTTTATGCAGTTAATTGTTACCACATCTGTAAAGTGTAACACATCTGCTGACTCCCCACTGCTAAGCATGATTTTGTGACACTAATGAGCTAGTTGTTTTTAGTGAACAAAAAAAAAA